TCCGCCCCAAGAAGAGGAAAAGAAATGTCCGCTGTTACAAACTCCCAGCTGAAACGCTGTCCACCGATGCACAAACACATAAGCCGTAATCCATACGTGCGAATGGGCCCGCCGTTAGCCGTTGTTAGCCGTGGGCCGTGCCCGCCTCGAGTGATGTCTTCTCTCGACGCGGGAACCACACTCCGCTGCGCACCCGTGTCGCACAGAAACAGGTTCCCTGAAACACTGTCTTTGACGAAAAGGAGCCTGCCCGTGCCGCCGACACTCAGAGCCACTACTGAGCGTCGGCACCCCCGTTTCCCGGAGGCTTGTAGCTGCATGGAGCAATTCACCTCTTTGCCATCTTCCCGAAACGTGTATGGTAGAAGCACTCACCGGTATCCCCTCGCAGACTCGGCGTCGCTGTGTCCGGCCTCCGCCATGCTTTCTTGCCCGCAGAAGGGCCGCTGTGCACCACAGCCAACGCCTCCGCACCAGACTGTCGTGTAGCCAGGAAGAAACGGTCCGCTTCTCCGGCCAGCGCGCGGGGCTCCGTGATGGGTGTGTTGGCCAACGCCGTCTGGACCCGGGGAGGTAAGTGTTGAAGAAACATCTCCATGAACAAAATCTGGGTATCTTCCCCTCCTAGCAGGCTTAGCATCTTCTCCATTAACTGAGATGGCTTGCCATCTCCGAGGCCCTTAATGTCCATAATTTGGCGGGCTCTTTCTCTCGACGATAAACCAAATGTCTTCAGGAGAAGAGCCTTGATAGCCTCGTATTTGCCGAGGCGTGGGGGTGCTGTGATGAATCCCACTAAGCTGGCTGAAGTAGAAACCCCCAGCGAAGCCACCACGTGGTAATATCTCAGTGTGCAAACCATGCCTCCGTGGCATGCTCCCAAAACTCCGGCAGCTTAACGAAAACATCTCGTTCAGCCATGTTCAACATTTTTTCGGAAACTATCTCGAAAAACTCAGGGTCACCAGTGTAGTGCCGGTAAGAAGAAGTCGGAGGCGGAGTATTTAGAAGGGATTTCCACTCTTTATTTTCCATCAAGCAATAGTAGTATCAGACATGTACTCAGTGAGGAGAGTCAAGTTAGAGTGCGTTGCAAACTCTAGCTTGGCAACCTATATCTCCGGTGTTACGCTAAACCAGGTCCGTGTAGGAACTGTGACCCAAAAGTGAATTATGGTTAACTAGAGTCACCACAATGTAAACAAAACTAATTTCCTCACTTCTTTCAACCAATGAACACATATTTTTTCATTGTATCCTAAACTTCATCCTTTAGACACATTTGGGTCTAAAGCCAAAATTAAAACTGGACTTACCTAAACTTATGTCAAGAATATTTAGATTATATGGTATTGTTGTTGTAGTTTTTACTGGGTCGACTCATTCAAATTGAAATACAAATCCCACAGAGCATCGATGAACAATATATCATATCAAGATATAAATGAACATCAAAAGATTCAAAAGTATACAGGAAAACAACTCTGAGAAAGAATAGTGAGAGTGAGAAGGTAAGGCTAGAGAGGGAAGCAGAGATATGAGGTGCCATCCGATGGACTTAGAAAAAACAAAGGCAAGAGCAGTGTTACGAAAAATAGCAAGTGACAGATACAAATCACTGGCGCTGCAGCACATGGTATCTGTCATTGCAACAGGCTGATTGATTCAGCCAACGTAAAGCCCAGGAGGCTGTGGGTTGTCACACTGAGGGGCCGCCTCAAAGACAACGCGCAGGGAGCAGAAACGTCACGTTAGGCTTCCCTGTTAGCAGAGATGCATTAACAGCCAGAAGTCACTCACCTTTGCATCGTTTCACAAATCATTATTGTTTTTGCACCATCATTATGCCAAAAACTAAATGTTTTGGAAAAGTGTGATCATACATTTAAAATCTAAATCATCCATTTCTGCTCTCACAAAGTTGATTAGACAGTCTCATGAAAGAGGGGTGTAACGACTTTCCAGTGTGACCTAAACAGTTGGTCTGAGTCTTCTTGTAACACTGTATACCAAGGATTGAAGGTTTCATCCTAAAGTTGTGTATGGAAATCAGGGATCCACCATCGAGATTCATCAAACCAGCACGAAAGCTGAATCACCAAAAGCAGAATCCCCTACACTTTAGTTTAGAGCATCATTGTATTTTGCCCACAGTCAAGAGAGCACTTCTAGAAAGCCTGAATTATAATCAACAAAAGTATACTGTAATCTTATTTCCACACACTTATTTGAGGCACAACATTCAAGTGCAAACATGTTTTCTAGAAAATAGGAATTCTACCTCCACTGATAAATGCAATCACTCCATAGAAGGCTAGTTGAATGTTTTGTTGTGCCTGATATCAGCAGTGGGCTGCATCTCATTTCAGATTGAGCCAGAGCTCTGAATGGTTAACCTTTACTGCGCTCCAGTAGGATGCATAACCATATGATGTGTTAATGTTTTATATCCCCACTTAAATGAACATGTCAACCTGAATTGATGGAGACGGATTGGCCGGATTTTTACTTCTTCAAATTAAACCTGTGCCAGTCATTTATATGCAAGGGAGGCTCTTGAATATTCAGGCTCTCACACCTTCTGTCTGTTCACATATCATATTTGACAACACCGAGGTAGAACAAAGGCAGATTATGGTTATTTAATATGCTTCCCACAAGTGCATCTGTGGCCATGTAATCATTCACTCAGAGAATGGAATGAAACACAAAAGGACATTCTAACTGCATTTTAATTTGAGATATAATTGTGTCTGTCATTTATGTGCTTCCCTGGAATCCACCTTGTGGAGTTGTGCCTTGTGGGTCATAAAAGGAACTCTGTATAAGTATTGTAATTATTTTATTTTTGCCTTATATGTTACCATGTCTAACCAACACGTGCATTCGTGAAACCAACCACAAGCAACCTAATGAGTTACTATTTAAAGGTTTTGAAATAGTTTGTAGAACATTGATGAATTCCGTCCCTGGAGAGCATCGAGACAAGTCTTCAACAGAAAAGACCAACGCTGTGGTGGAAAAACGTGCATTAATGTCCAGCCGTGCAGACATGGAGGGGCCCAGTGACAAGCTGTTCTGCTGCAGGTGGGTGCTCTACAGGATTCCTCTGGCCCACAGAGAGGAACTGTACCACATCCTGAGGATGATAGGGCCTCTGGTAAGGATTCATTTAAGTTTTGGTTTGAAACATAAGGAAATAGCTAGCATGGCTTTCAAACAATGTGAGCTAGTAACTGCATCAAGTGAACCATTGTCGATGTTTGTCTTTCTAGCTGCTCTCTCGAATCCTCAACTACCTGTTGCCATTTGTGGTTACAATGTTCTCTGGGCGTCTGGGAAATGAAGTGATGGCTGGCTATGGATTAGCTTGTGCTGTAAGTGGTCAATTATATGCAATCCATAGCCAGCCATCACTTCATTTCCCAGACGCCCAGAGAACATTGTAACCACAAATGGCAACAGGTNTCCTTATACAGCTCTTTAGTCTTGCCCATGGTGGAGAGGTTGGAATCTGATTGATTGATTCTGTGGACAGGTGTCTTTTATACAGGTAACAATTTGATATTAACAGTACATTTTTAAAGGAAGAGGACTTATTTAACCAGTCTGTGGAATTCATAATTATTGTTTGTTGCAAGGGGATCAAATACTTACTTCCCACAGTTAAATACAAATATATTTGCATATTTTATATAATGTCAATTTCTGGATTTTCTTTTTGATATTCTCTCTCTCTCATTAGTCAAATAAACCTACCATTACAATTATAAACTGTTCATTTCTTTGTAAGTGGGTAAACTTACAAAATCAGCAAGCGATCAAATACTTATTTCCTCCACTGTATATTTCAAAGTATATTTAATGTTGATATTGACGTAAGATTTTTTTCTAGGGTGTCCCAGTTGTATGTGAAGATCTTTTTGCCAGCTCTTCCTGTGAGTATTTCTAACCTCTTATTATAAACCTATCCTGTCTGCATTCAAAAATAAAACATTTCTATTTATATATATATATATATATATATATTAGGGTGGTCCTTAAAATTGAAAGTCGGAAAGTCTAAGCTCCAACCCTCAGAATTAATTCTATTAGTCGAAAAAACTCTCCTGGTGAAATTTTTCCTCAATCTGACAACATTTACCCCTCCCTCATCGACCTTGAAGTTTCACCCTGAGGATCCCAGAGAGACGCTTTTTATCTGGGAATAAATATAGCTTATAAGGATTCAAATGAATAAAAACAATCCTTGAAAACAAGAGCCATTTATTCCCAAAATGACATAACAAACAACATACAGTGTTTTATTCAGATTCAGATACCGTTGAATGACATATTTGCAATGAATACAAATAGGAACTTAGGAACATTAAAAGTGCGACAGTGTAATTATTTTTCACAAGTGCAGACAAGACAAAACAGTGAATAATGAATAACAACAACATAGTCAAATCAGTGCAATGGAGTAGACAAATCAGTGTAATGGAGTTGTATAAATGGTTACCTCATTACACAATTAAATGTATTAAACTATAACAAAAATCTTAAGCAAAATGTCTTTCTACCTCAAATACATATTCCGACTTAGTGCTCCTGCTCCTGCTGGGCTGCCACACAGCTACTAAACTTCAAGGTTGATGGGGGAGGGGTAAATGCTGTTGAGACTATGATAACAAATTCCGGTGGTTGGAGCTTAATATAAATGAATTCGAAAATGTACCTCTCACGAAGGACCACCCTAGTGTGTGTGTGTGTGTGTGTGTGTGTGTGTGTGTGTGTGTGTGTGTGTGTGTGTGTGTGTGTGTGTGTGTCCAAATATATAATTGAGAGATGTCCTTCTTTGTTGTAGGCTACATTCATGTATGCATTACAAACAAGTTATCTGCAAAACCAGGTAAGTCCATTCGATAACTATCTGATGAGATGAATTAAGAACAGGACAGGTTGATTACATGAAAGAGAAGTCAAAAATGTATCCAAAAAGTATATTAGCTGAAATGCTATTCGTCAGACTTCTATTGCAGTAATACAGAGTTGCACCAGGTTGCAAGTTGATGTGATATTAGAGGTGAGCGTCCGAATTATGATGAAAATGAGGTCAGGGAATATGAATGTGTATAAAATCTACATTTGGACCAAGGTTTTGTTTTGCATTTATTGACTTTGGTTAATCAAATTCACATCTTTCCTGTCAAGGTGCTGAGTTCAAAACCTGTAAATTCTGCATCTCAAGGACTCAACAACGCTATAGAATGGTCCCTTTACATTTAAAAGTTACAAATGCTCTTTATCAGGTACAAGGTATCATTTGTTAATCATACTTATGTGATGGGATGATGACTCAGTGTAGGAAGACCCTTGTCCTGTAGTAATCTTTGTGTTCTCACTTTGCCAATGTCTAACAAGAATATATGTCATTTATATTATATGTGGCTCTTCTCTCAGAGCATCATATGGCCGCCGGTAATCACAGGCCTTATAGTCAACATTCTCAATGCTGTCATCCAGTATATCTTCATCTTTGTATTACATCTGGGAATAGCGTGAGTATTGCCTATTGACTTGTTTAGTAACGTCATTATTGCTTTTTTTCCCCACAAAACCAATATTTTGCAATGAAATACTCTTTACAGTGGTTCTGCTGCTGCCAACGCCATATCCCAGTACTGCATGGCTACAACTCTGTTTGCTTATATCATTTGGAAAGGTCTTCATAAGCCCACCTGGGGAGGTGAGTAACACATAGGCTGACAGGGTTTGGCAAGAGTGCGGACCCAAATGCAGAACAAACAGGGGAGGCAGATATACTGTAAGGACAGGAACAAAAAGCTACGTTTATTAAATGAAAGCTGTACTTACAAAAAAATGGCAGGAGCAGGCGAGGTGGAACAGAAAGAAAATAAACAAAGAAAGAAAGAACTAAACGGGAACACTCAGGAGACACGGGAGGGCAGACCAGGGAAATCCAAAAGTGGTAGGATTGTAGCTCAGAAGAAACAAAGTGTTTAGATTATACATTTGGAAACAATAAGGATTATTGCATTTCTTATTTGACTGTTACAATAATATATGGAAAGCAAAAATCGAATCATGTTAGAAGCCCTCCAATACAACATAACACTACCTACTATATTAAGAGACAGATTCAAGGCTGTATGTGCAATATGTTGTTTCAGAAACATCTTGTGACAGTTATTGATATATAGTAAAATAAAAGAACGTCAATAAAGTGAAGGATAGTGTGGTTACGTTCTTTAATTTATGAAGAAAAGTATCAATTTCCCCATATTTTATCCTACAAAGTAATATAAAGTGCATTCGGACTTCTCTCTGTTTTATTCAATATTTCAGCCTTTCTGAATACTGCAAAGGAACCCTTTACTGTCTATTGCTGTTTTTTCCTAATTATTTACTTTTACATTTTTTATTGGAAGTTAAGATAATTTATATCGTATTTGATCAGACCGACTCAAAGATGAAATGATTGAGAGATTGAATTATGTATTGATTTGTTATTCTTCCAAACAGGCTGGACCAAAGAGTGCCTGCAGGACTGGGGCTCATACATGTACTTGGCCATCCCCAGCATGGTCATGATGTGTGTTGAGTGGTGGTCGTATGAGATTGGAAGCCTTTTGGCAGGTAATGCTACAGGCCACTTTGTGGTTTAAAGCATTTGTGTGAACAAAAGTCAGTAAGAAATCTAATGGCTGTTTGTCATTAACAGGTCTAATAAGTGAGGTGGAGCTTGGGGCTCAATCAATTGTGTACCAACTGGCAAATATTGCATATATGGTAATCTGTCCTCTAAAAATGACTGAATCTGCATAAATGGTTATGGTGTCAAATGAATGACCAATTTGTACACGTAGTGTCACAGCATTTTGACGTAGTATTTTTGTTATTAGTTCCCTTTGGGTTTCAGTATAGCTGGCAATGTAAGAGTTGGACAAGCGCTGGGAGGCGGAGACACAGAGCAGGCTAAGCTGTCTGCTAAACTGACAATATTCTGCGCAGGTCAGTATGCTCTTCAAAACTATTAATGCGGTTTATAATATCTTATACAAATGTATTTTAAGTCAAGATAATTCTAGAATAATTTATAATTAGAACTGTTATTTCACTAAAGAAATACTACAAAGTTGTTTTTGACCTGGAATAGCATGCCTTGAGCCAAAACGTTTTCAAGTGGCTAGCAGAGCTAATTATTGTCACAAGATTCTCAGTATATTTACAGAAAATAAACTTTCTTTAAAATGATGAAACCTGTGGAAAATAAAGTATGTTACTCTTTAACACAGGGTCCATGTCTATATGTTGGTCAATTCTCCTTGGCAGCCTGAAGTCCCAGATGTCATATGTCTTTTCAGATGATGAGTGAGTAAAAAAAACTAAACCTTTGCAACCACAACCATATTCTTTACTTTTGTTTAAAAAATAACTCAGGGGGTGTTATGTTAACAAACACAGAGTAAACTTTTGTCTGAGGGAGATAATCGGTCTCCTAAATGACCTTTCACTATTACTATATATCATTTATTCTCTACAAAGAAAACAGTGAACTTTGCCTACATATTCCTTTAAATATTAACTTTAAAAAGTAAATGTTTTGCTCATTATCACTGTGACTGTGACACCACAACTGAATTGAAAGGTTTAAAATAGTTATTTTTATGTTATCATGCTTTAAATTGTACTTTGCTTGAGTATTTGCATTTAACGCTACTTATGCTTTTACTCTACTACATTTCAGAGGCAAATATTGTACTTTTTACTCTACTAGATGTGTTAAACTCTCCTAGCTACTTTGTACAAATGAAAACACATGATACAACATGTGTATTTTTAATTTAACATTTTTTTGTCTAAAATTGGCTCCACTTTGTCAAACTACATTATTAATATGATTTGACATTTATAAGAATAATATTATTCTACAACACTGTAAAAGAGAGCCATTCTGTGTACTGAATACTTTTACCTTTAAAACACAAAGTACATTTTAATAATAATACTTCATTTCAGGATTTTTACTTGAGTATTTTAAGACGACAGTAATTAAAGGAACTGAGAACTATTTCCACCACTGCATATTAACAATGTCTCTTTACAGAGAACATTTTTGGATATCTCTTCTTATGAAAGCCAGTTTAAAAAAATCATTATTTACCATCTTTAAGAATAAAATGTTAAATCAGGCTTTTCATTATATACTCCTGTATCATGTAGAAACCCCTCTTTAAAAATCTTCAGAATATAAGTACAAATGAAGCTGGAAAGCTTGTTGTATGTACAGCTATGTAGAGATTTATTTATTTTGAGGAAACGTGATTTTAAGGATATGTCATACATTTGGCAAAATGCTACATTAGAATAAGGGTTCAAATTGTATCTAAAATATATTCAACTTCCCCAGTGGATTGAATCCAATCTCATGATGTCCTTTTTACCTCCCACACAACATTTGTGTCTCACTTCTTTCAGACAAATCCGGCAAAGGGTTAATGATGTTTTGTCTATATATGCTCCATTCATGATCCTAGATGCACTATCAGTAAGTATTACGGAAATGTCATGCAAACAATATCTTATGATAAACCTATAGATTGCCTTTGCAAAATACCAGGTGCTTTCTTTCCTGCCTTACCATCTCTTCATTCTGTGTGCGTGGCTAGGCTTCCTTGGGAGGCATTTTAAGAGGAGCAGGTAAACAGAAGATTGGAGCCATTTGTAACATTTTGGGATTTTATGGTGTTGGTTTTCCCATTGGTGTGCCACTGATGTTTGCAGCCAAATTGGGAATCATTGGTAAGATGTACAGCATGTTTTTGAGCCTTCAGCTTTTTGTTGCCACAATGATGCTAACTGGTTCTTTTAAAGTTTTTAAACCGGTGTCTTTTTTTAAGTATGAGAAATGCTTTATCCCCTCAGGACTATGGATAGGCCTTGTTACCGGTGTGTTTCTGCAGGTCATATTCCTATCTTCTTATTTGTTAAGAATGAACTGGAATAAAACTACAACAGAGGTAAGTAATTAAGAGTCTTCACATTCAGAGTCTAATAAATCTTCATATTATAAAAGGTCTTTATGAATAAACATTCATACATTGTTTTCTTGCAGGCTCAAATCAGAGCAGGAGTGGTTGGGAGCTCTACAGATACACGTAAGACTCCACAACACACTGCTAGAGTCTCCCTGTCTACTGTTCTTGAAATGGCTTGCGAAAAATGTTGAAACATGCTTAAAGTGACAGGTGCAGGGGACATCTTGAACAATATACCTAGTATATATACATAGTATTTATATAGTTTAGGTAATTTATCAATGCTTCATATATGACTTTAACTATTTAACAATTGTTAAATAGAGTCAGCCCTATATAGATAATTAATGTTCAGCAATTAGCTGTGAAATGAAGAATCCCATATATTAAACATGCTGCTGTCATCTCAATAGAAGTTACTGTAACGCAGGGGTGTCCAAACTTTGTTCACCGAGGGCCACATACAGAAAAATATACAAAGGGCTGGGCCACTCACTATATATTGCCTCATAAGTTCAGTTATAAGTTAGCAAAATCAATCAAATGTAGGTAAATTATGCTTGTGAGTGTTGGCAGCTCGTCCCTTAAAACAGAAGCCTCAGAGTGATTATAATAAGGAGAAATAGGAAGGGTGTATTTCAAGCTTGTTATGTAAATAAGTCACTGGGCTTCTTCTTATCAACTAAGATATGTTAGAATCTTCGAATTACTTTAATTGACTGAATTTAATTTAAAAGTGGTCTTATTAACACATGAATACTAGTGTGTAATATATGTTTACATTTATATTTAAGAACTACAATATAAGACTAGCACAAGTTTCATTTGTGGGCCATATTTCATTGTACTTTTTTAATTTGCTGAGGGCCGATTAAAAATGTTCCGCAGGCCGCATTTGGCCCCCGCTCCGTAGTTTGGACACCCCTGCTGTAACTATTAACTAAGTTAGGAATCAATAAAAAGTAGAATCGTGCATCAAATGTTAACGCAAAATAGGAAGAGTTGAACGCAAAGCACATATTTACAAAAATGTCAGATGAAAGATTTTTCTAAGTTAGAAAGTTTATATATGTTTATATGTTGTATGTCCAGGTCCACAACCAGAGGATCCAGGGGACTCACAGGACAGTGCAGGAACAGACACCGTGGAGCTGGTGGACCGCGAGGCGGGGGGCGCCGCAGTGAGTCCGGGGGAGGAGGAGCTGTCTCTCAGAAGTCTGCTTCTGCGCAGAGGCCTGGTTCTGGCTGTCATGCTATTCATCCTGGCTGCTGGAATCATTATTAACCTGCTGATCAATAACTTGGTTACATGATTGTGAGCAAAGTCTATTCTATTCAGCAACTCTAAGTATTCGAGGTAACCCCTAAGGCACTGCTGCACCGTCTGATGCGGATGTTTGTACTGTATCGCACGATGCCAAAGAAGGACATGCAGAAGACATTCACAGGTGCAGGCAGGCAGAAAGTAATGAATTAATCTCCTCAAGCAATACATAACTCTTGAGTCATTATTTTACTAGATGACCCTTTGTATCTGCTCCGGTCTCTAGGGAATCCTCTCACAAACACATTCTGTCAAAGAAATTAAGTCAAACTACAGACATTGCCAAAACATTTGTATTTAATAAATAAAGTTTTGTGGTATTCTTGGAATCAACCTTTTATTTGGACTTTTGGAGACACAAGTGCAGATGTAACATAAATATGTAATTAACCATTAATAATTTAATTGCGTAAAGGAAAATATTATTTCATCCATTGCCAAGAATTCATAATATTTTATGACATCGAGTGGGAACAATGATTTAGTGATTAATGATCTTATGGTTATCCTTCTATTGGGACCAGTGCAGTGGAGAACATTTCATCAGGGGTATATGTCGTATTGGTCCAGTCCAAAGTAAAGTTGGCCTCTGAATGCAGCATCTCTGGCAAGGGGACCAGGAAGTGCACGCTTGCTCCCACAGCCAGAAGTGAAACTGCCGCAAACATAACGGGGCCTCGTCTGAGGATCAGCTGTGTAGTGGAGAGACGTCCACCCTTCAGCTGCTGGACCACATGTCCCCTCTCTGTCTCTGTGTTCCCGTCATGGCAACCGGAGCTCACAGACACGTAGCCGTCCACTGACTTTGGAGAAAGACATTGTCCGTTATTTTACTTGGTTGAGTCATATAGATGGCGAGCGTTTCAAACTAGCCAAAGATAGCAAATATGTCAATTGATAACAAGAGGAAGCAGGCTTTGAAAACAAATAGATTAATTGTTGGGTTTGGCCACATTCCCATTACTCACTCTCTGGTAATCAGTGTTGTCCCCTGCAGTGTCTGACAGGGCATCTGTGCTTAATAAAGTCATGGGAGTGTTTTTCTGTGCTCGCTCCACAGCCTGCAAACAAATACAAACAACAACTTTACATTTCTGAAAATCTTACAATAGGGTTTAAATGCAAAATGTGTAAGTAAGTCCAAATCATGAGACGCTGCTGAACGTGCCTCCTCTGTAATTGTCTTCCAGTTGAGCTTGAATATGACAATGGTGTAGAAGGTGGATAATAAAACAACACAAATGAGTAGTGCCAGCCAAAAACCTGCAAAGAAAAATGTGTCTGTTATGGGAAGAGAAAGTTTCAAGTGAATGTTTTTTTAGTAAGTAAAAGGTCACTTCATGTAATTACCAATTATTCCCATTTTTGCAACAAAGGTCAAAGTAATGCCGATTGGAAGTGCTATGCCGTAGTATCCAAGGAAGTTGGCCACAGCAGGAATATTCTGTTTGCCTGTTCCCAAGAAGATGCCTGTGCACACACACTAGGATGTAAATAAAAATATCTCAAATTATTAAGCAGTCTCTCCATCGGCCGAGATATTGTATTTTCGGGATGGCTAAAATAAATTATATTTGCCTGGTTATGCTCGCACAATGCTTAATTAATCTGGTAATATACTATATGCTTAACTAACAACAAATGGTCGACTCACCACAATACCATCAAAGAACTGAAGGAAACAGTAAACATTCAGCAAGTGCGAAACAAGACCTATGATCTTCCTGAAAAAAGGTTTTATAATTAACATCTATTTTTCTTGTTCAATATTTGTATGTAGCAATAGCAGTATAAAAATCGTAGGTTTACAGTTATTGAATAGTGAGTGCAGTTCTCACTCATCAGAGGTAAAGATGTAGCCAATCACTGTTTTAGTAGAGCCGAGCACAATCCCTTCCACAACTGCAATGCATGCTGGAAAAGAGGGGCAGTGAAATCTGTCAAATGTAAAATGTTGAAGTAATTAAATACAGATTAACAACTTTTTTATAACTGACCTGCAAGAGTGAATGAGATCTTGCTGGTGAGGATGGCCCTGGCAGTGTCTCCCGCACCGAGGGCATTTCCCACTCGGGCGCATGCTGCAGCTTGAATACTTAGAGGGAACTATGGATTCATTTAGAAATCAGAAAGTATGAACACAAAACATTGAGCCATTGAGAGTGCTCAAAAGATTAAAAAAAAACGTTAGTTTATGAGTACCTTTACAGTAAGAATATAATGCTTTATACATCTTAATGAGTTGTAGTTAGTACCATGTAGGTGATGAAAGCCACCATAATCACAACATGTTGGGCTGCCAGCTCGTCTTCACCCAGCATTCCTGATCAAAAGAAACAAAGACAAAGGCTTTGATGAAATATCACTGTTTACTTCTCAAATAATAGGTTCAAAGTAGTTATTAATATATTTGCATTACCTGCAAAGAATCCACCAAACTCATAAACCCACCACTCGAAACATGTCATCATTGTACTGGGAACAGCCAGTTTCATGTAGGAGCCCCACTCGTGCAGCGATTCTACAGACCAGCCTGCAGGGGGAGAGAGAAACTTATATATGAAGAGGGAAAAAGATAGAGTGTACAGAGTGATACCTGAGGAAATCATGAAAATGAAAACCGCACCTCCCCATGTTTTTACATGGAGCTTCTTCCAGCGAATGTAAGCAAACAGAAATCCACAGATATAAATCTGAGACAGAGCATTGGCTGCTGCAGATCCGCTGTAAGACATGCACACAGAAAAGGTGATATCAGTGTGTTTGATTGTTGAAATCAGATTCAAACTGAAATATGTGAGGACACTTACCTTACACCCAGATCCAGCCAGTAAATGAAGATGTAGTTTGTCACCAGGTTTGCTATGTTTGCCAAAGCAGCAGTGTACATTTGTGGCAATATTATACCCTGAGTACACAAACAGCAGATGATGAGGAGCACTTATACCTTTCCCTTCCGTAATTACATTAAATAAGACAATATGTTTTCATTTTTTTTAAATCAAATAACATTGGCGCACCTGGTTCTGCAAATAAGACACCTGAAGCTGATGGAGAAACATTGCCTATAAGAAAACAAAATATATTTGTAAGCTCTTTTGACAGATTTGAAGGATAACAGTATCCCTACATCAGTGAATATTTATGTAGTTTGCTCATAAAGGTGAAATATTACAACTCACTGGTATGGCAGGAAGAAAGGCTGTAATATACAGCTGGGCTATTCTGAAATCAAAAAGTGTAGAGACAGTGAAGAGACAAAGACTCTAAATGCTTCAGAAATCACAAAGTGGTGTTAATATGTTGAGATTATCCTGCTTATAACGTGTAAGTATCCTAAATGTGTGTTGGCCACAAAGTTTGTTGTTCCATATGCGGAAATCTAATGGGGAAAGCCAATGCTTTTTGTCGAAGGATACCTTGCCATGCTAACTTTCGGGTCTGGCCTTCCAAAATACGTGATCGCTGCACCACTCGACAGAAGCACGAGTTACATAGTGATGTCATTATGCTATGGAATAAAACAAAGGAATCCAATGGAGGCTAGGAGGCGGGGGATTGCAGAAAACAAACTCCCTCTGGCCTGAACTTTGGGATCTTGGCCGCTTCCGACCATTTACATGCAAGAAGCGCATATATAACACACTACAGAAAAGGGTCTTGTGTTGGAAGTGAGTTTTCAATGTGTTTGGTGCTGTTAGTTACCTGGTCACCTCAGGGCTCTGGCCCATGCACAATAGGATGGCCTGAGCATTAATGAGCAGACCCCAGCAGGGCAGACAGAACAACAGCAGGATGATGATGCCCCGCTGCAGGATCACTCCCACCCGACGCAGGTTCTTACCACCAAATGTCTGCAAACAGAACAGACCATGTTAAACATTTTAGAAAAGGGTGTAATAAACAGTTGGCGTCTGGAGGAAAATAATTATTGGGCAAACCTGAGACACCAAAGTATCACACGCCAGCCCCAGACCAGTTCCTGTTGCTGCAGTGGTGACATTAATGGTCTGAAATGAATATGAAACATACTTGATTGAATGAGTCTTTTGTACACTCAAAGACTCTGATGCAAGCAATATTAATATGAATCATACAAGTAAAAATACTACATATTGATTGAATCATCATTTTCTTATTCTCTTGATAACAAATCAAGCAGGATTAGCACTTACAGCACAAGCTAATCCATAGCCAGCCATCACTTCATTTCCCAGACGCCCAGAGAACATTGTAACCACAAATGGCAATAGGTAGTTGAGGATTCGAGAGCACAGCTAGAAAGACAAACATTGACAATGGTTCACTTGATGCAGTTACAGTACTAGCTCACAGATGATACTTTGTACATTTCAGTAAATACAAGTTGCAATTAATTAGCATGGCTCTCAGGCAGCACTTGGCAAATGACAAAAAAACTGACAAATCTTTGGCATCTTGCAGCCACCTCGCAGCCTCTGTGTAAAACCTGCCAACAATGTTTCAGGCCAATAGATTTCTGCTCCTCAGTCTCAGAGCTGTTTGCCTGACATTTTAAACTATTCTTTGGCAAAGTAAAAATGCTCATCAATGTTTTCATCAACATTTTAGCAATAACAGCCTCAATCCACACAATCCCTTAGCGACAGAAAAAGGTATGAAAACAGTGCCTTACCAGAGGCCCTGTCATCCTCAGGATGTGGTACAGTTCCTCTCTGTGGGCCGCAGGAACCCTGCGGTGCACCCACCTGCAGATTAAATTCCTGTCACTGGACCCCTCCATGTATGCTGGCATTATTGCAGGTCCTTCTCCTGGATTATCTGTTTTTTCTGTCCGTCTTGTCTTGTCTTCGTGGCCCTCCAGGATGTTGGAGAGGACAGAAATATTTGCTGCTGTCACAGCTGCTCTGGAATCAAGCCAACACCAGCTGAAACAACGCTGATTGTGAAACACCAGAACAAAGCTTGCAGTCGCAACAAAGACAAAGACTTGAAAGCAAGAATGTTTTGATCTTGGTTAAACAAATCAAAAACAATGCACTGCCTACAACATGGTTTGGGTCAATGATTCAGTGCTCAGGTTTACCATTACTCCAAAGATAAAACATGTACAAAATGGCAGACTAGACGGTTGGCATTGATTGTGATGATGTGATAATTCATTCTTTTCACGTGTTTTGTAAATTTCTAAAAGTGAATTGAAATGAAACTTATAACATAAATGAAGTATGGGATTAGAGATAATAGTTTCATTTAATAAATGCTGTGACCAAACTTTATGCTCAAGAAAAGTGTTTGACGGGGATTGTAAAAAAGACATTTAGGAGACATTTCTTTCAGACTGTTTTGATTAATTTGTTTGGTATTGGACAAAGTGGAGACTGCATTTGAACATAAACTAAAGTATAATAAGGAAGGTCCACCCAGCCCTTTATGTATATGGTTTTCCTTGACGTGGCGCTTACATGAATACTTTTAAAAATAATTACATTTTTGGAACATGAGGAGCTATATTAAACTTTACGTGGTCAACTTTTAAAACCCCACACTTTCATTTTAATCTGTCTTTTTAATTTACTTTCTTTTAATTTTTGGCAACAAAATAGCACAAGTGGTTATGAATGATAATGGATGACATTACCTTAGCCTATATGACCCTCTGACCTCGGACACAAACATAAACAATCCAGGAAGAGTGTTAGAGTTCAATGATTTATTGTCAATGCGTATGAATGACTCAGGCTGATGGGATCAGTGTATTGATTAAAGTAGAAGATAGCAAAGCTCACAGAGAAACAAGTCGGGCAAAGTTCAAAACCATGAAGGCAGTCCCAAAGTTCCAGGTTACAAGATAACAGATCAAAAGCTTATGGCAAGAAGCAACAGTCACATTGCAACTGTGACCAAATAGCAAACAGGTGTAAATGGAAAAAGATTATTATGAATTGATTTATTAAAGACGTGAGAACCGGTAAGAAGGTGGGCAGCGAAGGTAAGGAAGTTGGAGGGTAATGATCTATTCAGGAGGGAGTGGCTGGATGTGGGAGGGAGGTGACTTGGATAGGATAAAAAAACTGCAGGGAAAGAATGACAATGAACGGTGGAATGTGGTTCAAGAGGGGAAAAGGAAGGAAGTGATAGTTTTTATACATCATTCAATAGTAAAACGTTTTGGAAAAATATTTTTGATGGAGATCTCAACAGTGACTTATATTTAGGGATGTACAGAGTTACAATAGTACAAGGAAAATGTTTCATCATTTTACAACACAGGGTTGTGGTTCCCAATCAATTTGAAGGAAATACAACCCCAGTGCAAAGTGAATCCAAGATGGAATACTATAAGTGCATCTTCATACTTTGCCCTGTTGTTCTTATAATATTGTTTTATGCAAGAAATTAAAATGTGGAAAACGTATGGTTGTCATGTTGAGAATCATTGCCCCACTAACTCTCACCCTCCTGTCGACTCATATTATTCTTCACAAATCCAGATCAATATGATTTCCTATTGAATCATAATGGTTAACAAGAGAAGACTACAAACATGGCCTCTGGGACATCTGCAACATGGCAGGATGGCATTTTTGTATTAAACTCCTAAAGATCCTTACATGTGCCAGTCTCTGCTTTGGGATCCAGTAATTATTAGATTGTCACAACCGTTTGCTAAGCCATGTTTCGTGGCTGTGCTAATGGTGTGCTATCACAGTCTCACGGCATTTTGTGATGTAGTCACGAAATTCATCTATTGATTTGTGTATACCAACACAATTTTGCAATTTTTTCGTGTCACAGAACGATTTTAAAACAATGTATTTCTATTGGTAGTATGTTTCGTGCCTGCACCAAATAATAAGAAATTTGAAGGAAAAAAAGAAGACAAAAAATACAGATTTCAGTATTCTGAGGCTCTTTGCCCCATTTATTTTCCTCGAGGACGGAAAAATAACTCAGACATTATACAGTTTAAAATAAAAGGGATAGGGTTAGGCTTAGGGTAAGATATTGAGTAAGACATTTTTTTTATGAACCACACAGCTTCTGGTATTCCAAGACCCGACCGGACAAAAAGACGTTGTGCAGGCACGAAACATACTACCAATATAAATACATTGCTTTTAAAATCGTTCTGTGTGACACGAAAAAAATGCGAAAATCGTGTTGGTGAACACGAATCAATAGATTAAATTAATTTCGTGACCATAACACGAAATGCCGTGAGACTGGGTTGGTGCTATGCAGGGCCGTCCCATGGGTCCTCACATTGCGCAAGGGGCCTCGGCTTATATTATCATGTCCATGGAAGAGGGATTCCTTTGTTAGCTGGTGTTTCAGTTGTTTTGAGAGCCTGGTTGGAAAAAGTAACAGTTCTGTTATCAAATGATGTTGTCTTTGATGTGCTGTTTTGATTATGTTGAAGGTAACCAGTTGCTCTAGTCTTTGTTGTCCTGAAATTCCAGCTAGCTCTGAGCCAATTTGAATTTGGGGCTTTTGTTGCTCTTAAAATTAGCCTAACATACTTTGTGTAGCCACTTATGCTAAACCAACCTACTTTAGGCCAGCGCTTGCATTTATCTGCTCTGAAAACAGGCCAGTCATGAGATTCAATGAGGCTCTTATTCTTATCATTGGTAAATATGTGGTAACCTGTAAGATATAATGCATTTATTACACTGCAGATAACCATTAACTTTGGTCGTATGTGTGAGACAGGACTTCTGTAGTATGGGAAAAGCAGGAACCGACCCTCAGTCCTCAGGTCACCCATTTGTTAGATTCCCTGCTGTGGAGGGTGATGTGATTTCCTGCTTGTATGGGGAGAACCTGCTTCTGGAATATGGTTATAGCAAGGAGCTGTTTTATTTATTTTTTGTTGTATTTATAAGTCTGTATGTAGCTCAAATAGGGCTCTCATATATAGGGGTGCCATGAGTGCATGCTTTAAAAGGTATGTAACACAAATACTGTGTTTGTGGATTTTGCAACATAACCTAAGAATCACCAGGGAAATATTACCCAAAGCTGCCACAACAATATTACCCAAAGCTCTGATAAGTCATAATTGAATCTAAATTGCAAACAAGTATTTTCACCCACCATCAGTACACTATAAGCATTTAGTATTAAGATGGGAACACTTACAGTATTGTAGCCACCCTGTATATAACCTGTATAGGGTGCTCTGTGTGTCGGTCTACCATCTCCCATCTCTCAGCCAATCACAGAAGTGCTCAGTAATGCTGGTCAGTGTGCAGGTCTGTGGTTGGGGGAGCAGAGGGGGAGGGCTGGCCAGCGTGTGACGTTGACCCCACTCTTGGAGTTGGAAGTAGTGCTGCTGATGAAGTTATGACCTGTTCTGCATGTATTGGACGTTATCTGCCCTGTTCCCAGTGAGTTATTAAACCAAAGAACTACACTCCTGTCTCTGACTCCTGTGGAACATTACAGTATGTTACTTCGACTTATTTTACTCCAAGGGTGTTACGCCCAGACCTAGGGGAACCTAGGCGCAGCATAAAATACACTCTCCCTACTTTTCCCACTCCCAAGAAATCGGACACCAAAACAGAGAAGGCGTTTGGTAAATTTATTTACCCAAAATTATTACACACCGGAGTAGCAAAACCACAAAACAAAGAAAGCTTTTAACACAAAATCTTACCTATCAAAGACAGGTTTAGTAGCTTTTCTACACAGTCTCACAACACGAGAGAAAGGACCGGCATACGGTATACGGTATAAATAAGCAATCAGTGTAACAGGACAGACATCGCAGCGCAGATGTGTGTTGGGAGTAGGAGAAGTCTAGTCGGAGAGAGGCCGAAGAACTGAACGGCTGCAGTTAAATATCCTCTCTTCTTCAGGTGGACCAATCAGCAGGTTGAAGGTAGCTAATCAGCTTAACGGGCACCACCTGTTGCTCTCACACACACACACACACACACACACACTGTTGGAGATTTGGAGGATGTTTAAAACCAACTTCGTCTCGGCGTGTCGTTTGGTAAACTGGGTAAATTCGAACAAAGGAAGGGATTAAGAAACACCAGAATACAAGTTAAACAATAATCTTGTTTTAATGATACAAAGTAACAATACAAATACCAAAGAATCACGAAGCACTCTGCAGAGTACTCCGGGCTCAGGTTCTACCACGTGTGAGACAGGTCTCAGGAACGGCCAGTCAAAAACAAGAGCGCGAACCAAAGGAAAACACAGGCTTCTATTTCGTATATGGCTTCGCCCTCTAAGGCTATCGCTATTGGGTAATCCCCCTGCGCCCCCGCGCAGCACTGAAACACTTGTAGTCCACGCCCACCCGCAAGGTGGGCCCCACCCTCGGGCCTCCTTCCGGTATAAATAGGAAGGTGGCCCGGCAATCTGCTCCCTCTTTTTTTCAGCAAACCAGCACAGTTACTGAAGCACAGCAATTGAGAATCATCATGAGCAACAACTGCGTCCGTGGTTGTCCCTCATGTGGCTCTGGGTTCATAATGAGTTATGACCTGCAGAGATAAAAGCAGTATGCGAATCCTGCCGGGGGTCAGAGCACGCGTACGCGGCTCTAAACCAGCAGGTAGCATGCACTGCGCTCGTCTCCCCTCGGGCGACAGGAAGCGGAGAGCGGACACTCTTGCTGCTGTGGCCGAGGAGGACGATTGGCCCGTCCAGGCTTACGAGCAGGGCTTAATTTGAGCCGGAACACGCCGGAACATGTTCCGGCACCTCTGAAATTGGATCCGGAACCTTTTTTATTGGATCCGCCACCTCCCGTGTCACTATG